ATGAACTAGGCCTTGCACATGCACAGAAGAAAAATGATGTTAAATCCAGGCTTATAATACGTGGTATTCTGGGACTGTGCAAAAACTTGCCACAACTTCTTAGCTGTGAGGAAGTGAGGCTTAGTTTGCAAAGAGTGAAAATAAGTAAAGACCAAAGTAAAATACTACTTTAGTTTTCTAGAAAACAGGAGAATTGGACAAAGGCAAGATGTGTTACAGTAAGATTATGAAATAATGATCCAAATAATTAAAAATTATATAAGCTATATTTTTCTTAATATGAAGGGCTGTATTGCATTCACAGTAAAAAAAAAAAGCAAGCAATAACATAGGTAACTGACCTTACTATGAAATGCAGCTTCTAAGTCCGAGTTGTAACTGTAAGTTCTGTTATACAACTGTCCTTTTGACTTGCATGGATATTTTATAACCTGAAAACATATGTTCTTTACTATTTTCAGTGTTCAGGATAATGGCAGTGTTCTGAAATACCTTTTCCTCTTTTTGCAGCAGTCAGTGCTACTAACAAGACAAAACTTTGCAGATTCAACTACTTTTGCTAGCAAACTTGATACTAAGATGGCATTTTTTTCCTTCATCCCATCTGTTTCAGTGGCAGCTGCTTCTTACTTATCCTCATTATATGGAGCCCTTAAAAGCTTTCTAAGCTCCAGATCTTCTATGCTGCTGTCAAAACAGTATGCTAAGGAGCCATATCTGCAGTAGGCTGGCTTAGGGCTGTGTTCCCCACAAGACTTGGGTCAGATGGCTTGGTGACAGTAACTGGTGTGCAAGCAGAATTTGCATCTTAAATTTAGATAGACTCCACCTACCGAGGTTCCTGAATTTCCTGTCTAAACTATTAATTCCCGTGCAGAAAACCATTAGAGACTTCAGTGAAAACCTGATGCTTACTCACACAAGAGCAGTGGTAATTAAATAGGGGTGTGTGTGTACGTGTACATGCTAATCTTGAGCATGGTAACCGATGATAACCAGGATTTAGTAATCCTTTTCTGTAAGGCAAGTGAGGTCTTGAAATCTGATTCAGTTTTCTTTTAAATAATTTTCAAGCCCAGCGTACTTGGAAATATATTTGTCCCCAAGTTCTGAATGAAGTCCACTTTAAATTTTAACAATGTCTAAGTTAGTAATTAGCGACAGGAACTGTTAGTTTGGAAGAGGGATGTGGAAAGCTAGAAAGATACAGTATTCGGTAAAGAAGACTTATTTTATTTCTTTCTAGGGGTCTTTATTCCAGCAGACAGGTGACCGTGGAGGAAATGCATCGCTTGCTTGGAAACGTGTAAAAGGATGCAAAACAAACGGTCATAACGGAGGGGAGCAAAAGACAATCATTCTACTATCAACTGGTTAGTATCTCCTTCTAACATGGAGAGGGGGGCTCAGGGGGGCTGTGTGGAAGAGAACAGAGTGGCAAAAACATCCCCAAACTTACCCTCCTGTATGAACAGTCTTGGAGGAAAGGTTAAGCACGGTGAATAAAGCGCGCTTTTTCTCCTTCCCCTCCCTCTTTAGACATAGCAAGTAAACTTCTAGGGCAGTCGATGGATGAAAGTGGACTACCCCAACTCACGAGTTACGATTGCGAAGTAAACGCTCCCATACAAGGCAACAGAAACCTGCTACAGGGTGAAGAACTGCTCAGAGCTCTGGATCAAGTTAACTGAGCTTTCACAATACTTGTTCCTTTTTTGGACACTGGTGAATCATCACCTAAAGCAGTCTATTTATATTTTCTATATCTGATTTTAGAAGCCTGGCTACAGTACTGCACTAATTCAGTTAGTTCAGTTTTGATCCCCTTTCTACTTATTTTCACAGTCTTTTTAATATGTTCTTTATGTAACAATAACTCAAACTATAGTGCATTTTTATAATTCTTTGGTACATACACTTTTAAGTCCATTACATTTAAAACACACTCGCAATAGCAGCTTTGAAATATGCACCTGATATTAAAAAAAATATTTATTTTTTGGCTGGGGAGTTGATCACCAAAACTTACCATTAGTAAAATGTCAACACAGGAAAAACTGGCAATACTTCCATCCCTGCTCTTCATAGGTAGTTGGAAGACTTGTGCTCTCTTACTCTTTATGTTCAAATAAGTTTTTTATTTTAATAGTTTTTATAAGAAACAACAATGCTTTGCAGCAGTGCATTGTAGCCACAATCGCACAATATATTTTCTTAAAAAATACCAGCAGTTCCTCATGCAATATATCCTGCATTTATAAAAACTAGTTTTTAAGAAGAATCTTCTTTTGTTTGCCTATGAAATCATGTTTAAACCTGGATTATGTCGTTATTTTAGTCACATTGTAATATAAATTGTTCTTAAATGCTGTCTTATGCTTTTGACTTAAATGAGTGTGGTTAGTCAAAGGAAAGGCTTTATCTGGAAAGGGCTAGCAGCATTTTATTTGGATACGTTCTCAATTTAGAGAGAGATTGATGTTCTTAAAGTAGTCACTTTGCCAGCTTAAAAAAAAAAATTCCCTGCCTGTAGTTGTTGAAGTTAATGCTAATATTGTGTATGATCTTAAATCTAAATGTTCAGCTTACCCTGTGTGGTATAGGTGATATTTCAAGCAGATTGTAAAACATCTTGCATTGTTAGCAAAGTTTTATCTAGTACTTCATTGAGTTGCTCAATATTTTGATGTTTTGGTTTTATGCACCTTGTTGCTATTAACATCCATATGTTTTCATGTAGATTTCAATAACTTGAATATATTTAGAAGCCTTTTTATTTAGAAATATAGAGTTGTCACAAACATCTTATTTTCCTATATGTACTGTACAAAACCTTCATTCACTCATTCATTTGCTCCTTGTGGTTGGATCTAACACTAACTGTATTGTTTTCTTACATCAATAAACTATATGTGGACCAGGCCCCCTTGGGGAGTGTGTTATCTGAAAGAAATGAGATAATTTATATTTTTGTTAGTGGTTATTGTTCATCCGTGTTCCCTTTTTAACTTAGACTTGATCGGAAATCACTGCTCCCTTATTTCGACTGTAACATCTCTGTGTTAATTATTTGAGCCTATTCAGTACTGAAGTCTCTTAGACAGTGTTGTACTACCGCTCGCCAAAGATGTTAAATTTTTAACTCTGTTACCACGCCAGTTAGCAAACTTGAAAGTGAGGAGACGGCATATTTGTGTTAGAGTGGAAAGATTCTTCCTTGTGAACAGCTTGAAGGCTTGTCTCTGGAACCCTTATCAAGGTAATGCTGGGAAGCAGGAACAAGTAAAATTCTCAGGAGTGATCAATTAGAGATGGATTTTTAGCACAAAACTGCATGATTAAAAAAATTAAGCTTCAGTACTTGGTACTTGATGATAAAGCTTGTCCTACATCCTTGTGCTCTTGACTCTGTAACTTTGACAGGTGCCTTTTCTCATTTTGCTGTCATAAAACACGATGCTACTGATACAACCTTGTAATGTGTAAATACGGTCAAGATACTCTGTGCATCCTTCAAACTCGTTTGAAAAAAACTTATCTCGGTGTAAGGAATCAGATGTGGAGTGTCACAATCGTTATTTTGTTTTTATTTTGGAAACTTTCATTGTCCTTTGAAATCAGTATAATAGTACATAAGCTTAACCTGTTTTCTAAAATGACTGTTAACTGTTTCACTGAAAAGAGCACTTTTTGAACTGACACAACTGAATTAATTAAACTTAACGGAGACTATTAACTACCACCTAAAAAAAAAGATAAGGCCGTGGTAGCAGATGGTTGCATGCTTCTTGCAGTTTGAGTAGAAATTGCACAATGAGAGGAGAAAACCCGTAGGCTCACTAAGCTCGAGTTGGAGCTTTGTGCAGGGAACCCATTGAATACCTACTAAAGACTTGTAATGCAGCCTTGAAGTGTAGAAAGCTCCTGACGTTCTCTGGATAAAAGCAGCAGGGCTACTGCAGACCAGCCGCGTGAGAGTGTCTTGGGTGGTGTTCTTTCCAGAGCATCTCTTTCTCCGTCAGCAGTTAAAAGGTTTAACAGTGAAGTTGCAAAAGGCTCAGGTGAGGGACCAGTGTGTAGGGTCAGCCCTTATGCTGGGCTCTGCGTGGGTTTGTGTGATGCTTCTGTGAGGCAGTGAGGAGAGCCTTGTAGATGTGGGAAAGGGACAAGCGGGTTCTGCCTTTCTTACCACCCAGCAAGCCTCGAGCTGGCCTGGTGGGTTATCCCTTTTCATCTCCCAAGGAAAACTCCGTACCTTCTTCCTCAATGTTGTCCTGCTACTCTCTTGATTTGATTTTGAGGAGCTTGACCTGTTTGGAACTATCCGTTCCTCTTCAGTGTGCTTTAAGAGAGCAGTCAATTATTCACAGTAAAAATCCATGTTAAAAAGAAGAGGAAAACTTGAGTGACCTGCATGATTTATGATTATGAGCCTGCTGGAGTCATCTCTGGTCTTAATGACAGCAGCTGTGGATTTAGATGAGCCATGTTTCATCTATGAATCTTCCCAACTATCACATTTTTGACAGGACAAGGGGTGATGGTTTTAAACTAAAACAGGGTAGGTTTAGACTGGATCTAAGGAAGAAATTCTTTACAATGAGGGTGGTGAAACACTGGAACAGGTTGCCCAGAGAGGTGCTGGAGGCCCCATCCCTGGAAACATTCAAGGCCAGGTTGGACGGGGCTCTGAGCAACCTGATCTGGTTAGCGGTGTCCCTGCTCCCTGCAGGGGGCTTGGACTTGGTGACCTCTAAAGCTTCCTTCCAACCTAAAGCATTCTATGATTTTTTTATTATATGTAGTAGCAAGGCATAGCATTTTGCTTACTGTCCTGGTAAAAGTGACTCAAGCGATTAATGGAATGAATGGCAATAGCTGTGCTGGCTCATTGTAGGAAAAAAGCCAAATAAAAAAACTCCACCAGACCTCCTAGGGATACTGAAGCAAGCATGGATAAGTAATAGTAATTGCTCTGGCCTTGCAAGAGCTTTGCTAAATGCAAATACAAGTTTGCAAAATCTAGAAATACGCATTTTACCTGCTGCTTTGTGTTTGGTTTTTACTTTTTTTTTTTTTTTTTTTTTTTTTTTTTACTTAGACTCTAGGAATACACAGCCTGATTCTAATCCTACTTTGGAGGACAAGCTTCTAGAATACACTAATTTCTGAACTATTTTGAATAATTTCTTTGCTGACTTCCTTATCTTTTAAAATGCTGAGGCACTATGTTAGAGCATTTATGTTTCACCAGTAGTAAAGAAAGAACTGCAGGTGGACAATAGCGTTTCCTTCTGCATATGAAACCCGCTAGACTATGCAGAAATGATAAATGGGGGAGAACAGCAACGTTAGCTTCCAGGAGGCTGTTGTGACTGCAGCAGTCATCAAGCCCTGCCACTTTCATGGCATAGCACAATCATTATTTTCACATATGGATTCTAATTGATGCTTTTATCAACAACAGTGATGGTTTTGTTAAAAGGTAAAGAAATTTTTAAACTAGTATTTATGATGATGTAATTCATTCCTTTACCTGAAAGTAGTCATAATTAAGGCACCTGTAGTTCCCGGGAAGTCACGTAAGCTGTACCTGATTTTGGGGGTGGTACACTGTGTAAGTTACGGTAGCCTGGAGCCCAAAGTGCACCTTTCTAACACATCTTCCTCCCGTGCAGTGAGAGGGGTTTGGATTGTGTACTTTGGCCCTTTGGGTGAAATGGAAACAGTTTGCTATTAAGTTTCCTTTCTTATGTGTCTGTGTACACGCGTTAAACTCTCACTAAGTAACTACTGAATTAAAGAATTGCAGAGTAAGGCCAGAAAGGACAATTAAAGCTTTACACATAACACTGGTGACAATTTAATGAAGCGCTTCCTTTGATGAAGGGACGAGTACCTGGCCCCTGTGAGCCGGGCTAGGGCCGGACGTGCCCGAGGTCAGCCCTCGGTTCCCCTCCCTGCTGCCGAGCAGAACGCACATCTCCCTCAAATGTCACTGCCCTTACGCACATCCTTCAAACTGTAATTGTCCAGCATGAAAATAAACATTCCACAGGCCAGGAGTAGGAAGACCATTTCAGATCAGTTGGGTATCCAGCTTTCATTAAAAAATATCGTTAGAAATTAGGCACTTGACTCCCTGAAAAGCTCCGTTCTGGAGAACTGTGATTTTTTGATCCAAATTCTAGAAATGAGTTGTCATTTTCCTTCTGCTTCCCTGTTTACCTTGAGCAAGGCTTGCCAAGTTACCAAAAAGTTAGAGAGTTTGCTACTGGATTTATACAGTATGGTAGATTTTGTGAATAATAGCAGTATTCTCTCATGAAGAAGTGGTATATTTTAATGGAATCTTTTTTGGAACCAAGTACAATGTATTGCAATTGATATTTCTCTTGAAACATTTTGACATACTTGTGACTGTATTTCTTTTTGATTGTGTAACAGTATAAAACTCAATAAAAGAGAGGGTTTGTTTCTAATGTGTGACACTTGTGGTCTTTCTGTTCATCGTTATCCATGTTCTAGAAGATGGGGATGGCAAAACCACTTTTTAAAGTGAACTAAGTAATCACTGTGCAGCGTAACTGAAACCCCTTGCATGTCTGAGGTCTGACTTACCTGCTACTGAAGTCAGAAACTTTGACACTAAGCATACGTGTGCCCTGCTTTGCGAAAGCCTAAGTATAAACTCTGCCTTGCCCTTAGCAGCTGAATCCTGTTCACCTGAGAAACAATGGTTATCCCACCTGAAGTAAGTAGACCTCATGCATGAACAAGGGAGGCTAAGCACATGCGCTTTAACAAACAGGACATTAGGGACTGCGTAGGCTTCCCCAGGGGAAGCTGAAGAGGGAAGAGAGCAATAGCTGCGCGGCCAGGGGGGCAGAGGAAGTTTATGAAAACTTTTGGACTAATCACATCAAGAATGCCCTTAGTAACACGACAGACACTAGCTGGATCCCAGATGGCACCTCCGGGTGATTTCAGTTGCTCTCCATACACACAAACAACACGACAGGAGCTCGAGACTCTTACTCTCTTGTTAAAGCAACACCACTTCCTATCACACAGATTAAAAATCTTTTGCAAAGTTTTTGCTCTGTTGGGAAGTCTAAAAGCAGGTGGCTTGTGCAAGCGCTGTCACAGTAGAATGTGATCTTGTTATTTGGTATTAGTGATACATTTGTACATTCAGAAGTTTGAACACTACTTAATAAAATATATCCATTATTTATTTTCATAAAAATCCATGAGAATGATTTATATTCATGTTTTCAATTTGCAAATGTGGTCTAATACAATCATACAATATATTTTTAAATAAAAAAAAAAATCATCTTGTGCCACATGCAACTGGAGTACCCCCTGTTATTTATATCTATGCAGGATAAATGGCTTTTTAACTCCCAACTTACCAGTTAGGAATTACTAGGGCAAAAGGACTTCATCCTTTTGTTTGGGAGTTAAGCAAGAATACGAAGAGGATACAATAACCAGCACACTCTACCTTACATCATCTCTTTTTCTTTTTTTTAAGATGTTTTTTTTTAGTTCAGAAGGCAGACTATTAAGAACTAAAATGTACTAATGAAGAATCTGAAGGAGCACTAGATGAAAACACACAATTTACCAAGAAGAGGCGAGTACTAATTAGCCAAAAAACTGACACTGTATTTCATTGTATAGACCGCAGAAGGGGAATTCTACGAAGAGCCACTTGCTTTTTTTTCATTCCTCTGCATTTTCATTCTTTACACTGTAGCCAAACTTTCTGCAAGTAAAGACTCGGCACGCGTTAACATATGGGCACAGCAGCCTCATCCTCGCTACATCTTACATCATCTTCCACAATGAAAGTGTCGTGATACGCAGCCCCATCTGCCTTAGAAAAAAAGGGAAATTCCCATCTAGCCTTTCTTGAAACACCATCTCTGAGAAATCACAATGCTCACTGCATGCTTAAGATACAAAAATCAGAAAACACACTCAAGCTTTACAAATTCCGCATCGCCTCAGAACCAAGCTCCTCCATTCCTCTTAAATGAAGGGATAACTCCTGTAACTAAGTAGGGCTTGGCTTGACCTGCAAGTAACAAGGAACTCCCTCCATGATGTGTCAATTATTAACTCGCTTGAGCTTTGAATCCTGAAGTCGGTTGGGGAGAGTACATTATAACTGTTTTCCCAACAGTGTTGACATTCTGGTTCAAAATCAGTACAATCTATTGAAGACAGGGTCGCAGACTGGACGAACGGGGTCACTGCCCGATGTCTCTAAACACGAATCCAAATAATGGATGAAAGCGTCTTGTCTTTTCAGAAAAAACCCAAAGCCAAACCAAAACCCAGCAGGTGCAGCTCTTCCCCTGCAGCCGCTAAAACCTGCCCAGTTCACATGCAACAGCCCTGGTGATGCTTCTGTTCCTGTAAGCAATTAAAGCGGCAATCAGCGGTGCTTAAGGCCAGCAGCTGTTTAGCTGATGGCCATTCGTTTCCTACTCATCCATACAGGCAATTAAAGGTTGGATTCCAGCAACCTTTTGGGAAATATAGTAGATACGGAAAGGCGCTTTCCTGCCTGAAGCACCGTGGAAGCTGCTGTCATCGCAGGAGCTGATCGCTCCAAGCGCCTAGCTCTAAAGGAGCGAGCTTTAAACCAATGAGTTGATGCTAACGGTGAACTGGAGAACATCTCCGTGCCAGAACCAGCAGAACTGAAAATCCATTCTGCAGTGCATGGTTATTCAAGAAAGCGCGAGGTGAATCCTTCACCTGATGGCGGTGCGGAACTCCTGCAGGTTCACGTCCCCCCCCGAAGGCATCACGCAACGCACCATCCCGTGCGTATCCCCCCATTTTTCTACGCGCCTTTTTTTCACCCGTTCCGGCTCCCCGAGCGCAGGG